GCACAAGGCCGGACATCCCCTCTGTAAATGGAGGCGCGGTGGGTCGAGGCCGCGCTGGGCCTTTAGGGGTTCCCGCCACACCTGAAGGCTCTACCTGAGTTTCAGCTGCCTCTGCGGATTTCTGAGCCTCCTGACGTTCCTCATCGAAGGCCCCCAGCTCGTCTGTGTCCTGTCAGCCTGCTTAGGTGTGCACGATTTTTTGTGTGGCTTTCCTTCGGCCGGGGTCGGTGGAAAGCAAGCCTTAAGGGCAGACAGGGTAGGGTAGGTCCCCAATGGAGGAACAGTCCCAAGATTGATCTGTTTTTGAACCAGCTGTTCCACCCGGTCCCATGTGGACCAGTCAAAAAGATGGGCAGCAGCGAGCCATGGCACCGCTTCAGTAAGGGCTTCCCAAACCTCCTCGGCCTGAGAGCCAGAAATTTCTAAACCTTGAGTCTTTAGTACGTATCTCAGCGCCTTAGGCGCTGGGTCCTCAAACTTAGCATGAGAGTGCCCCATCCCTTCGGGGATACCTTACCTCGAGAGCCTCGCTTAGCCGCGTCCACAAGTACTTTCACTTTGTCCGGAGTCAGTCCTTCTTTAGGGCTCGTTGGAGCCCGTTGTGCCCCACGTTGGGTGCCACTTGTCTGGGTCTCAAGTCCGAGTCTGGGCCCTGACCAGCAGGGGCCAATACAGACACTCCCCAACAAGGCAAAGGGGAAGGGGAAGGTCGACGGGTGATGAACACACCACAGCACCCATGAGTTCTGTCGACGAAGGACATGCACAGTAGGGGAGCCAATCAGTGAAAAGGTCATGCAGGCATGGGTGGACCACGAACAGGGGCACCTTAAGCGAGGTATAGGGATCACGTACTGTCCACGTGTCCGGAACTAAATCAGACCTATCCCTGCAGGTGGTCCGATCTTGCACGGTTTAACCGCAGAGGCCACAGACATACCCCCCAATCATAGGGACTATTTTAGGCAATGCCCAACACTCTACTGTTTGCCCAGGCCACAAACAGAAAGGTGGATCAGAAGAGGAGCAGCTGGGACCAGCTTGCTCCTGAACCAGCATGCATATGGGATGCCAGCACCATAGGTAGAGACTTAACCTATTACACCACAGCTTCAGCCGCAAGTTAAATTTTGATCAACTATTTATTTACTATTTATTATATATCACCCCTGGCTGAGAAATGAGTCACACACAATGGTGATATATGATCTCTAACCTCTTATAAAGACAGATAACCACCGAAGTAAATGCAAATGTGTTATGGGCATTTGGGGAGTGAACTCGCAGATGGAAGATCTGTTTCTTTGTCTTCAAAATGAAGTGAAAATAAATTTTAAAAATTATTTCAAAGAATTTTAAAAAGCAATTGAATAACTCAGAGAAAAGCTTCCCAAAAAGAAAGAGGAGGAGACAAAGATAAATAAGTAAGAATGTGCAGGGTAAGATTAATGGAAGATAAGTTACGCAAAACAAATCCATTAGTAGACATTTCAAAAAGGAAACGAAGAGGAGACTGTTGGGGAAGGAAGCTTCCCCCAGATTCACAGGCTTCTGGTCCTGTGGGAGTTCTGCGTGCTAAGCTGGGAGAATGCAGATGACTCCAGAAAGCCCCAGAACATCCAGGGAGTGAAACCACGTTTCCCACATCTGCCTGCAGCGCCTCGTTTGAAAAAATGCCAGCTGTGTGTCCACAGACTAGAAAAGGAAGCCTACAGAAGGAGTGTTCAGGACACAGAACCAGGGGGCTCACGAGGGACCCAGAATAGAAGTGCCAAACCCCCAATCACTGCCTGAACCCCAGGAGCTTCCAGCCGGGCCCGCGTGTCCCAGTGCCTGGCCCTGTCCCTGCTGCATCAGGAAGGCTGTCTGGTGGTCTGGTCCTGCCAGGCTCACACCAGGGTGCTGGTGAGCGCAGGTCTTTTCAAAAGCAAATAAACAGAAATAAGTTAGATCTGAGAACTAAATTTTCCAGAGGGGATTCCTGCCAGAGTTCCTCTGACTCTTACTAAGGGCTGAGGACAAGGGGTTTCTGATGGGCTCCTGGTCCCAGCTGCACTGGGCAGGACCAGGGGCGGCTGCGTGAGGAACCCTGTTTTTCGGAGCCGAGGATGGCGCCGTCTCAGCAGCCTCAGGGGAGCAGGCGGAGGAGTCAGTTCTCCCTTGCTCTCCTTTCCCTGTTCTCCCATGAATTCTTCAGAGAAGCATTGTCTGACATAGCTTTACTGCTAACAAGATAAAATCCTTTGGGTGAATGTGCTTTATATGAATTGGACAACTTTAGTAAATAGAAATCTCAAGCAAATCCAACTTAATTTATGCTAAAAAAGTGAGTTTCAGGATAATTAATAGTTTTCTTGTCACTCGTTAGTACCTAACTTCATTGTCTAACTTTTAAGTATTATGAGCTCCTTGTATATTTCTTGACATTACAGAAGTCAATGGGATATTCTCTGATGGCATGTGCATCTTTTCTGTAAGTGCACTTTTGTAAGAGAACTTACTGAGCAAGCATGCTGCGTTTGGTGCACCTTTAACTTTAACCTTTAACTGAATGCCTGCTAACTTGCTTTGATTTTCTGGCAAATAATGTGTTTTTTTCATTTGTTGAATTTTTGGGGGTAAATTGAGTGTTGCCCATGGATTATTCTATTTTATCTAAGCAGACCCTTTTAACATTTTTTCCTTTATCTTCTTTCATATTTTCTATTCTTTATTTCTTTATAGTCAAAATTATTTTTCTTTTTTTGTTGTTTTTGTTTTGTTTTGTTCTGTTTTGACAGAGTTAGACAGAGAGAGAGAGAGACAGAGAGAAAGGTCTTCCTTCCATTGGTTCACCCCTCAATGACCGCTATGGCTGGTGCACTGCACCGATCCGAAGCCAGGAGCCAGGTGCTTCCTCCTGGTCTCCCATGCAGGTGCAGGGCCCAAGCACTTGGGCCATCCTCCACTGCCCTCCCGGGCCACAGCAGAGAGCTGGACTGGAAGAGGGGCAACCAGGACAAAACCAGCGCCCCCAACCGGGACTAGAACTCAGAGTACCGGCGCCGCAGGCAGAGGATTAGCCTAGTGAGCCGCAGCACCGGCCCAAAATTATTTTTCTGCACATATAAATCATTACTGTGTTTTCCTGGCTTCTCTGTGTTCCTTGCTTTGAATTTATATAGCAACATCTTATCTATCCTGTTTTATGTTGAGTTACTTAGCAGAGTGCCAAAGAGTAAATAGATATCAGATGAATTAATTAATAATCTTTGTATTTAGGGAGCCAGAGTTCTTTAACGTAGCTTTTACCATCTGCTTATGTTGTCACAGGTATAAGAAAGATACTGAAATGCAAAGGCATGCATATTAATAAATTGTAGGTAGTGTTAGTGATAATATTGCCACTCATTGAGCATTTGACAGATACTTTTTGTCTAACTGGTTATCTAAGTTAGAAATTGAAACCTTTAGGAAATCATTGCTTATTAAACCATGTGCTCATGTCATTCGGTAACCAATGGAATTTCGAATGCTTGCAAGCCAAATAGCCATTAAGCACTATGCCTTCCAGAGGGCTGCTTCTGCAGCGCCATCCTGATAGTTGGAACTGGAGCGTTCTCCATGGACAATGACAAAACTTCCTTCTTGATTTCTCTCCTCCTCCTCCCTCCCCGCCGTTCCTTTTTCTTTCTTCCCTTCTTATGCCAGTTCTTCCCTTCCCTCCCTCCTTCTTTCCTTCCTCATCCAAGAAACAAACCCACATTAGCCAGTGGCAGGTGTAGGCACATAACTGATAAGAGCTGTCTCTTCCACGGCCATGCCTGGTGTAGAGTGCCGGCCCTGTCGTGAGGCAGATGGAACATTCCCCATCATGGTTAAGGGGAATGAGCCCATCCAAAGCAGAGTACACAGCTTTGAAAAGACAAAAGGCAGGTGTGGTCTAACTCTCTTCTCCTTTATGGGGCTGGTTGTAAACAGTCTGTGGTTGATGTCTTTATGTGGGTAGGAAGACATGCATGTTCAAGTTCGTGTTCACCATGTGAATGAATTGAGTCTTGGGAGAAAATGGGCACAGGTGGAAAGGGTCCGCTGCTGCACCCCAGGCCCGCTGGTTTTGAGGTCAGTGGAAGGAGCGCTGAGCTCTGGGGAGGACACCCTCTGCCGACTCCTTGGTGTCTCTAGTTCCCCGCTATCCAGACAAGGAAGTACAGAGAAAGTTCAGGTAACACTGGCGCCATAGTCTCTGACCTGGCTTTTGAACTACCAGTGTGGAACTTTTGAATTCCCAGGAACCTGCTTCATCTGCTGAGTTTTCAGAGAGCTGGACATTTTTAGCCCCAGGGTGAGCCCTGAGAGTGAGCAACACCAAGTCCTTTGCAGTGAATGCAATTCTGTACAAAGTCTTAGAGGCCAGTCACCAGCGCCACCACCCCGGCTCCTCCAGGGTGGCAGAAAGCACGCGGCAGCCTCCAGCTCCTCCTGGGGGTGGGTCCACACGGGCTCTCTCTGCCATGCTAACAAAAGGCTTGCATCATGGCTTTCCTTCCCATGGGCTGGGAGCCTTGAGTCTCAGGTTGTAGATGGTCGGTAGCTAAGTGACTGATGGGTAAGAAGCCCCATAAACCTTACAGGACCAGATGTCCCAGGGGAAATCACAGACTAAGTGTGAGGCTTGCAGATAGTTCTGTGATGGAGCTGTCCCATGAAGCTGTCCTGGAGGCTGATTCTGCCCCAGGTCTGTGTAGGCTGCCTGGGGGGGCCACTCGTGCATGTAAACCAAGAGCTCAGGGAACCCTGACAGGTGCACAAAACCTGTCACATCCTCAGAGCTGAGCCAGCAGGCAGGAGTTGCCATCCCAGAGCCAGAGCTGAGGGGAGTCAGGCCTCTTCTGGGGGGTGAAGGAGGACACTTGGTGCCTGCAGGAGGCAGAAGAACCATGCTGACTCACAGGGGCAGCTGAAAGGTGATGCTGTTGATGGAATCATTAGGTGCTTTGTGTGTTTTTCATGTTTTGCAGATGGAGAAATCAAGGCACAGAGAAATCAAGTGACTTTGCTACAGTCACAAGCTGGGGAGGGCCAGGATTAGCACTCCAAGTGAGCCCCACCCTGGGCCTGCATCTGGCCAGCGGAGTCACGCTGCCTCCCTTCTCAGGAGAGAAGACTTCCTGCAAGGTGAGCAGGGCCCGTGCACACAGAGCTTTGCTCCATGCCTGTGATGAAGGACTGAGTGCTCTGTGCATGCCAATGAATGGAAAACTGAGTCTACACATGTGAGGGAGCAGCCAAGTGTGTGCGTGTGAGGGAGGAGCTGAGTGTGTGCGTGTGAGGAAGGAACTGATGAGTGTGTGTGTGTGAGGGAGGAGCTGATGAGTGTGTGTGTGAGGGAGGAGCTGATGAGTGTGTGAGGGGGAGGGAGGAGCTGAGTGTGTGCCTGTGAGGGAGGAGCTGATGAATGTGTGCATGTGAGGAAGGAGCTGATGAGTGTGTGTGTGTGAGGGAGGAACTGAGTGTGTGTAGGGAGGAGCTGAGTGTGTGTGTGTGAGGGAGGACCTGAGTGTGTGTAGGGAGGACACTCAGCTCCTCCCTGAGTGTGTGTTTGTGAGGGAGCAGCCAAGTGTGTTCGTGTGAGGGAGAAGCCAAGTGTGTGCGTGTGAGGGAGCAGCCAAGTGTGTGCGTGTAAGGGAAGAGCTGATGAGTGCTTCCCCCTCCCCCTCACACACACTCAGCTGCTACCTCACATACACACTCATCAGCTCCTCCCTCACATGCACACACTCAGCTCCTCCCTCACACACACACACACACACACTCAGCTCCTCCCTGAGTGTGTGTTTGTGAGGGAGCAGCCAAGTGTGTTCGTGTGAGGGAGTAGCCAAGTGTCTGCATGTGAGGGAGGAGCTGAGTGTGTGCGTGTGAGGGAGGAGTTGAGTGTGTGTGTGTGAGGGAGCAGCCGAGTATGTGCATGTGAGGGAGGAGCTGATGAGTGTGTGTGTGTGAGGGAGGAGCTAATGAGTGTGTGTGTGTAAGGGAGCAGCTAAATGTGTGTAAGGGGGAGGGTGAAGAACTGAGCGTGTGTCTGTGTGTGAGGAACTGAGTGTGAGAGAGAGAGGGACTGAGCGGTCTGGGCATGTGGATGAATGTGGAAGAGACAGTGGCAGTCACGGGGTATGAATCAGTGTTTCTTGGACAGGACGGCCGAGGCCAGCGTGATTAAGCTGCTCCTCCTCGCCAGTGGTCAGGGAGGGGCGGCCTCCTCAATAATGAGAAGGTTGTTTCTTGCAGCAGAAGTCATAGACTCAGACCCACCAATGACAAACACTTTAACAATGCACATGAGCACCAATGCCTCCAATGTGCATAGATTTTTACTGTTTTGGAGGCAAATTGACAAATTTTTAAAGAAAATTCTGTTATGGAAATGTATACAAAGATGCTTTTTGTAGTGAAATAGAACAGTAAGTCAGTGAAACCATTTGAATGCCTGTTTGTAGAGGGACTCAGAGGGTTCAACTACAGAAAAACACTCTGAGGACTACTCTGCAGCCATTCAGAAAATGAGTTCCATCTGTAGACATTGACCGGAGCTGTGACTTTTGGTAAGTGAAAAATAGCAAGTTATAGAAAAGTCTATGTATAATACAGCCTGCTTTTGCAAATGATAAATGTACAAAGGAAGCTGCACTCCCTGTTTTTCTTACATTTGGGAGTAGAGTGGACCTTGGGTATCTGCATGAGACAGGAGGCTGGAGGAAGAGCAGGTGTAACTTGCTCCTCCCCACGACACCGACACACTGCTGGAAGTACTTTCTCTGAGATTCTTCTCATCTGTTCACGTGGAAGAGGTGAAACCAGGCAAAGCAGGCACCACTGCTCAGACTCAGGGTAGTCAGCAGGGAGCCACTCTGGATTCTTGACCTAGAAAATTCCACGAGTAAAAGGGAATGATGATGTCACAGCCATCGGGTGAACGGACAGGCGTGGAGGCAACAAGGGAAGGGGCAGGCACCCTGGAGACAAGCGATGGGCTCCGTCTTTACAGCATGTGCTACAGGCCAGGGTGATGTCCAGGGATGGGAGGATATGGGAAAAAACCAAGACCAGAGCATAATCAGTGATCCAGTAAAAGTGAAGAGAAAGGAAATGAGTCATAGGGAAGAACCATCCGTCATCGGTTGAACAGGAAACTACTCTTGTTGGTTCACTGGGTGCCCAAGAGAAACCCTGGCCTGGTGCTGGGGCGGCCACGGCTCTCACAGTGAAGGAAAAGCGTCCTACTGTAGGGCAGAGACACGGTGTCTAATGAGAGGTTCCAAGTACAGGAAGACAGTGGAGAGCCGTGGCTGTGTGATGGGAAGAAGTGACCCCTTAGAGGCAGCTAGAAGCACTGAAGATGGCGCTGTCAATCTTGCTGCCAAGTGGCCGCAAGAGAAGAGCCGCTCGGAGAAGACCCCATGGGACCGTGGGGAGAGGGAGCAGCAGCATCCCATGTGTCACCGGGGAGGGAACTGACCACTGGTGATCTATGCAGGAAGGTTCTAGAAGCCACAGGGTCCAGACTGCACAAAACAGAGATGAAGGCAGAGCCCTGAGAAGTTTGACAGCAAAGGAAGAAAAGAGATGACTGTTGTTGAAAGGGTGGATAGGGCCGAAGGGCGAGGAGAATATGAGTGTGGCGAAAGGCAGGAGGGACCAGGAGAGAAGACAGATTGGATGGGGTAGGGAGGACGGCGAGGTGGACAGCAAGTCCTCAGAGATGGCTGACAGGGGCCTTGCCCAGGGAGAGGATTCAGCACGGGTGGGACCTGGTCTGGATCCCCTGGGCCAAGTCACTTCACCTTGGTAAGTCCGTGTCTCCTGTGTAAGCAGAGACAGCTGTGAGGTGGAGTGTCAGCCCAGAGGAGAACTTGAGACAGTCCCAGGCTCCAGGAGTAGCCAGCCCGTGGCTATGGCCCGGGGGCCACATTCCTGACAGCAGGAAGGGTCAGCAAGGGCAACTTCTCAGAGCCTGGCTGGAGAGGGAGAAGCCAAGTGACTCAGTGGGAGGAGCCCACCGCTCTTCATTGTAAAGGAGGTGGCGAGGGTGCTTTCTCAGATGAGAGGAGAGCAGGGCTGTGAGAGTGGTGACAGGAGAGCCAGACTAGCTTAGGCCAAATCTGTGTGGGCACAAGAGCCTCAGGCTCCCCCAGCGACCCACATGGCCTCGTGTTGTGTTCCCACTCCCAGCACACAGCAAGGCAGTGTGAGGAGCCTGCATCACCTCGCTTCGTTGCGTGCTTCTGTCGAAGCCTGAGGCGTGACCTGGGACATCCAGCTCTCTGGCCACGTGTGACTGCTCTGAGGTACACTTAGAAGTGGGGCCAGGCCTGGCAGTCCCTCCAGACCACTTTCAAAGCCACTTCCCTCTGATTTCCCAGCATCCCTAGGATCTGCATGGGTATCGTCACCCACACGTGTATAATTAAGAGGACTCGGGCCCAGAGAAGCTGGAGAGCTTCCTTAGGGTTGATGTAGCTAGGAAGAGATGAGGGCAGGCTTTGGCCCTGGGAAGCCGAGCTCCCATGCCCAGGGGCACAGCCATGCTTTCTGCTGCCTTCCTCAACACCACAGGGCAGTTTTTAGATTTTTGAGCTCTGTCTTTGTATGCTAACCTGTTCGAGCATCTGCTTCTTTGGTGACTTAACCACTGTTTAAGGTTCTCTTGTTTGTAAAAGCAGTGCAACACCTGGAGGAGCTAGGGAGTTTAATAATAAGCTGTCCAAGACCGTCCCCTCACACACATGCAGGTGGTGGCAGCATGTAAGTCGCTGCAATAAGGGGTCAGGAGGCTTCAGTCAGGGATGTGAGGAGAGAGCCGTGAGAACTGCAAGGGCACGGCACCCCCACCATCCTCCACAGAAGGGCAGGAGCGAGGAGTGGGCTGCATTAGCCACACAGTCCATACTGCACATACTTGACATTGGAGGCGCACCAGCGATGAACTCTGAAACCATTCTCAGCCAGTCTCAGATCTTCATTGCCTATTTACTGTTTGCAAAGTGCCCCCTTGGTGAGTGGGAGGGTACCACATGGGGAAATGCTTCGCTGTTGCTCTGATTCCAGTCCTTGCCTTGGTGGAACACCTGTGACTATCATGTGACCGCCAAGACGTGCCAACTGCCACCAGTCCTCACCGTGGTGGAACACCTGTGACTATTCACTCATGTCTTCCCACCTTGCCAAGACATGGTGCCGACTGCCACGCATCCTCATGGAGCTGGGGCACATATTTATCAAACCACTCTCTGTGTAGGCTGAGGCCTGCAAAAGTGAACCGGGCTGTGCTGTCCCGGGGAGTCGCGCTGTCCCTGGGAGCCGCGCTGTCCCTGGGAGCCACGTTGTCCTGGGAGCCGTGCCATCCCGGGGAGCCATGCTGTCCCGGGGAGCCGCGCTGTCCTGGGGAGCCGTGCCGTCCCTGGGAGCCATGCTGTCCTGGGAGCCGTGCTGTCCTGGGAGCCGTGCTGTCCTGGGAGCCGTGCTGTCCCGGGGAGCCGTGCTGTCCTGGGAGCCGTGCCGTCCCGGGGAGCCGAGCTTTCCCAGGGAGCCATGCTGTCCTTGGAGCCGTGCTGTCCTGGGGAGCCGTGCTGTCCTTGGAGACGTGCTGTCCCGGGGAGCCGTGCTGTCCCGGGGAGCCGTGCTGTCCTTGGAGACGTGCTGTCCTGGGCAGCCGTGCTGTCCTGGGAGCCACGCTTTCCCAGGGAGCCATACTTTCCCAGGGAGCCATGCTGTCCTGGGAGCCGTGCTGTCCTGGGGAGCCGTGCTGTCCTGGGGAGCCGTGCTGTCCCGGGGAGCCGCGCTTTCCCGGGGAGCCATGCTGTCCTTGGAGCCGTGCTGTCCCGGGGAGCCGTGCTGTCCCAGGGAGCCGCGCTTTCCCGGGGTGCCGCGCTTTCCCGGGGAGCCATGCTGTCCCGGGGAGCAGGGTGCCGCGCTTTCCCGGGGAACCATGCTGTCCTGGGAGCCGTGCTGTTCTGGGAGCTGTGCTGTCCTGGGGGAACTGCATCTGTGCTGACCAGGCTTGTCACTTGACAGGTGTCGTCTTTGCAGCAGCTCTCCCACTGGATGACCGTTTTCCGAAGCTCCCAGTGCTGAAGTTCCCGAGGAAATGTCCCTGGCAGTTCTTCTGCCTGGACCAGGACCTTTTGGGGCCTAAAATCTGCTAAAAATAGTCAGTTAGGGACTGGCATTGTGACAGAACAAGATAAGCCATTGCCTGTGACACCAGCATCCCACATGGGTGCTGGCTCGAGTCCCAGCTGCTTCCCTGCTAGTGTACCCTGGAAAGCAGCACAAGACTGCCTAAGTGCTTGGGCCCCTGAACCCTTGTGTGAAACCTGGATGAAGCTTCTGGCTCCTGGCTTCGGTTGCAGCCATTTGGGGAGTGAACCAGCAGATGGAAGATCTCTCCACCTCTCCCTCTCTCCTCTGTAACTCTGCCTTTCAAATAAATAAAATAAATCTTAAAAAAAAAAGTCAGCTGGATTAAGGGAGATTGTCATGAGTCCGAGAAAGATACTCTCAGGAAAGATTATGCTCCCCATCTTACCTGACACACATGCATACACAAACACAAATGGGCATGTGCACACACACATTTTATTTCAAAATAGTTTTAAGTTTGCAGAACAAAAATTCTGAGGCAGCAATACAAAAGTTCCCCATATACCCCTCATTTCCCCATAAACATCTCAAGTTTTACCATTATCACAATCAATGAACTACATCCAGCTTCCCCTGTTTTTTTAATCCAAAGTCTTCTAGCCCTCTCATCCCTCACTGCCTTAATAATCAATAGCCTGTGTTTAAGTGGAGGTTTTTTTTTTTTTTAATTTATCTTAGCTCCCACACATGAGGGAGAACTTGCAGTATTTCTTTTTCTGTGTCTGGGTTATTTCACTTAGCGTGATGTCCTCTGATTCTGTTTTGCTGCAACTGGAAGTATTTCGTCCTTTTTTATAGCTGAGTAGTATTCCATTGTGTGTGTGTGTGTGTGTGTGTGTATACCACATTTTCTTTATCCATTCATCTGTTGCTGGGCACCTTGGTTGATTCCATATTTTGGCTATTATGAGAGTGCTGCTGTAAACCCAGTGGAGCAGGGTTCACTTTGATAGGGTGAGTTCACGTCTTTTGGGTATCTACCCAGTAGTAGGATTACTGAGTCATAGGGCAGTTATAATTTTTTTGTCTTTTTTTTATAAGGAGTCTTCATATTGTTTTCTATAGTGGCTGTACTAGTTTACATCTAGCCAGCGCGTGCACACACACACACACACACACACACTTTCTAGATTTTGTAAATATATACAAACTGTTGCTCTGAGATGAATACATCCAGGCACTGGTTCAAAGACCACAAAGGTCAATAAAATGTTTGGGTTTATGGAAAGGAGATTGAGAATACCAGGGAATACCATCACCCCTAGCAAGTGTCCCACGGTGCTCTCTAACTTGGTTCCTCATCCTGCTGGACAGCCACACTGCACATGGATACTGGGGTGTGAAGCCTGAAGCCTCTGTCACCTGCAGGCCCTGTGCCAGGTTCCTAGGAAAATTCATGGCATTCGAGTCACTCAGCCACCCAGGGAGCTAGGTAAGAAGTTTAGAAATGGAGAAATTCATCCACGTTCATGTTCCTTGGTCCAGCATCACATGTCAATGCGTATGGAGCCACTTCTCCGGGGAAGGCCTCCTGCCTCTGCACTGTACACTCCTGCTGCAGGTGCCCAGCATACAGGCCACCCAGAGTGTGCACCCAGAGTGACCAGTGGAGGGCTCACTGCTGATGCGAAGTCCTGGAACATCAAAACACTGCCATGTGGAAAGCCCACAGGGCAGTCAAAGGATGCTCCCCATCCGGGCTTCAGGGAGGCACTAAGCGCAGCGTTGCGAGAGTCCAGCTCCACCCCCCACCACGGCCAGGCGGCCAGGCAGCTTCTGCCTGCCACCACAGCCAGGCAGCACCCCCCAGTCCCTGCTGTGCCAGCTGCTGGAGGTGTGAGAGCGGCAGACCAAACTTGGAGTGGTCTCTACCCTGTGGACGCAGCTGGTCTCACAGGGAAGATGAGTTCTGAAACAGGGCCTTCGGATGTAATCACATTGACTTGAAAGGCCTGAGACTGTGGAAACTTGTTTAGAATGCCTTTCAGGGGAAAAAAAAAAAAAAAAACGTCAAAGAAAAAGTTACTCCAGAAGCAGGAGTGAAGAAAAGATAAACATGGGGCAGGAGCTCGTGAGCTGGAGATGCAGAGGTCCCTGAGGAAGTGTGCAGGCCCCACCTCTGACAAAGGTCGGCGTGAGCCTGCCTCGGCCTCCACGTCCCAGCACACGGTCCAGAGGGCCAGTCCTCTGAGAAGGCTCAGCCCTACACGACTGCTGTCTCACGTTCCTAGGTCCTGGGGTCCACCCGCTGTGTCGCTTCCCTGTGACACACACAAGGGGGCTCAGGGCCTTACGGCAGCTTAGCACTTCCTGTGCCTCTGACCACAGTGTGTTGCATTAGCTACAATTCATCATTTCAGGGCTCTCTCTGTAGAAGAGTAGTCTCGGAGCTGCTGAGCCTGCCAGTGAGACCATGAGTGGCTTGGCCCCTGGTGTCTTCCTACACCACGGGGAAGAGCAGAACGCCCCCGAGCACCCACGTGGCCGCTGTCACACTCACTGTCCCATCAGAAGCTTCTTAGACTCACTTGCTCCTTCTCTGACTTCCCCCCGGCCAGCCCTGGATTGAGCTACAGTGGTGGCCTTCCTCTCCCCACAGGGACCTAGCTCCTCAGAGCTTGCTCTCCTGGCTCAGGTCCCAAGGCCCTCAGTGCTCTCTCAAACTGCTACTAAGTTAGTCTTTGCTGACATACTCTGTGCCTCACCTTCCTCTGCCCGGGACACAGGAAGAGCTTCTATCCAGTTGGACCCTTGGGGACCACGGCCTCACACGACTGTGTCCACTTCTGCTCCACAAGGCCCCGGAGCCCAGCCTTCATCTCTGCTGCGTCAGGCTGGCCTTTCAGCGTCCAGTCTGCTCCTGCTACTTCCTTGGCCTGTAGCTGTGCCAGCAAAGGGACGCCTTCGTTCCTGTTGTGTGTGTCTCCATGGGAGGCACCGGCACCATCTCTCTCTCCCACACGGACACAAGGAGTGCATAAGCACAGCCTCCTCTCAGTGCCTGCCCTCTAGGATGGGCCTTGCTTCCCATGGGCTGTGTGGGAGGTGGCCACCTGTGGGTAACTGTGCTGCCCCCATCTCTGCCTGCTGGGCAGGGCCTCACTGCCCTGCTCCTGTCAGACTCTGCCGCCCTGTGGCTGTGTTTCTGTATTCTCGGGTGTAGGGCCTCGTGATTGGGCCCCTGTGGACAGCGGCATCCCAGAAAGGAGACAGCTCTGAGGGCAAGCCCCAAGGCCGGTGTCCTCCCTGCTTGCCACCTGTCAGACCTTCATGTCACACATGCCCTGACCTCCTGGGAAACCTGCTGGCTCTGCTGTCAGTCACTCAGTGTGTCCCCACCAAGTGCTTGATGCGTGACGTGTCCATCCTCCACGTTGGAGTGGGGAGGGACACTCAATGACGAGTCCCTGCAATATGGAATGCTGCTGCTGCTGCTGCTGCTGCTGCTGCTGCTTGAAATAACACAGGACCGTGGCCTTACTGCCTGCCGTTGGAGAGCAGACCCGGGGGACAGCCCTGTCAGAGGCCGGGGGCAGCGCAGTCATGGGCGTGGCTAGTCAGGGACACTGACCACCTGCTGCTCTCTCCGCAGATGGAGGTGGACTCCGAGGAGAAGCGCCATCGCACGCGGTCCAAAGGGGTCCGAGGTATGTGTGGGCCTTCCCACAGCCCAAGGCTGGCCTGGGCTGCCTTCTCCCTGCACCTGGACTCCGGTGGCTCCGCGGATGCCACCCTCACAGCCCCCTTGGGTAGTTTTCTGTGGAAGAGTGGCACTGGCGATCTGTGATAACTTTTCGTCTGTTTTTCATCTCTCTACAGTTCCCGTGGAACCAGCCATACAAGAGCTGTTCAGGTTAGTGCTCTCCATCTGAGACACACCCCTCACGAGTCAGAAAACCCTCGCCTTTTCCGGGGTGCAGTCACACCCAGCTACACCGATGAGATCAGTTCCCCCAGACTTGCTGATCAAAAGCGTCCCCTAATTTTCCCCTCCTTTCAGTTTTGCGATCCCTCTTGTTCATTGTGGGCTGCCCTCATTCTGTCCGCTGCCCACGGAGGCGCCCCTGCCCCGGCCTGTGGCACATGGCATGTGTGTAATCTGTTCTTTCCTGTTGCAGCTGTCCCACGCCTGGCTGTGATGGCAGTGGTCACGTTAGTGGCAAATATGCAAGACACAGAAGGTAATGCCTGCCTTTTCTCATGAGGGGCCCAGTCCTGATGCTGGAAGCATGGGGGTGGGGGCCATGGAGAGCAGTACATGCTGTGCTTTGCTGCTCTCAGTGGAACTCAGGAACTCATGTGTCTCATGTGTGGGTTCTCAAAACCTCAGCCACTCTTCACTATCACAGGCGATGGTACAGAGCAAGCCATGCCTTCCACCTCGTGTTCTTGTCTGCGTCAGCAGGGCTGGGGTGCACTCAGGGCTCCCACCTGCCTTGGGAAGAGAGCTTGATTCTCATCCTCACTTCCTCCTTCCAGCAGCTGTAGGGGGCAGATTCGAATGTGACCTATGACCTGGCTCAGAACTCAGCAGTTCATCCAGGGAAACCCATGCTGCCCGCACATGGCACCTGGGCAGCTGCAGGATGAGGGCAGTGGACCACAGTAGGGAAACCTGGGGACCATGGGATTCCTTGACTTGCATACACATGGAGGCTTCAGTTCCCACACATGTAGAAAACAAGGTGTGTAGGAGATCATTATTGCCAGAATGTGTCATGGCCCTGCCCAGGTCAGTCTATGGCATGGCTTCTGCACACACCGTCTCTGCTCTAGGACACTGCTGTAGGCACACCTGTCAGCAGGAAGGCTGCAGGTATGATGACGTGGTCACTTTGGAGGATGTAAGTTTTCTGGTAATTCTCCCCTTCATTTGGGAGGACAGAGGTCGGTGCAGGTTAACCAGCACCCCTTAAGCAGAGCCTGGCTCAGCTCCTGGGACCTCTGCTCACTGTCTGTCATCTCACTCCCTTTGAGAGCAACACTAACCTGTGGGGGGACTCTGGCCTGGGTTCTGATTGTCCTTTGGTAAAATTGAGGGGAAGTGCTAAGTCTGCCCCAAGTCACCATGCATCTTGGAAGCAGGTGGGAGTTTTAAGGAGCATCTGTGTGAAACAGGTATTTGACTTGTCCTGTGACATACCCAAGGAGCGCTGGGGCATTTTCTCGGGGAATTCTGGAATCTAACGATTACATTTATTACCTTGCCATCACTACTGTCTAAAATATTAAGTTGAACTAAGTACTTTATTCTGTTACTTTGTGAAGGTTCTTTTAAGATCTTAATCTCAGAATTTGACAAACACGTTATTTCTGTTTCCAACAGAAAGCATGTTAGTAAACCAAAAGCACAATCCATTTTTCCTTCTAATACTCCCTGGGTTAGTCAACTTTTTAAGCTTTATTTTCTTAAACTGTTGTGGGGGGAAAAAGTCCTAAATTTGGCTAAAAAGTTACTTAGGAATGAGCTGGATATAATTTCACGGCCATAGTTCTGCCGAAATATTGTGAAATTTCCCAAGAACTCAAACACTGCCTTTCTCAGCAAAGGTGCATTCCCTTGGACATGGAAGGAGGTGGTGACTGTGAGGTGTTGTCGCACCAGTGCAGAGTGCCTCCCGCGCTGGAGACCCTGCTCTGCAGGAGGGGATCGGAGACCCAGGCTCCATGTGCATTTCCACAGAACCCTCACCATCGGGCTCTAATAGGATGATGGGGAGCAGTCACAGAAACCCCCAAGCTGGGAAATTTTCAACAAAATCTTTAAAATAATGCCATCTTTTATCATGAGTCTTACTGTAGGTAATTATTAGAATTCCTAATATCTTAGCAGAAATAGTTAATTAGAAGAGTACCGTGGAGTAATTGAAAGAGCCCTGGGTCCTGGGTCCCCTGGGCCACTGCCCAGCCATGGGCTGTGGAAAAGGTACAGGCACTCCCAGGTTCACCAGTCCCCTCAAGTTTGAGGTCGGGGTGGGGGAGACACTGCCTGGGGACCCCATCCCCATCAGCCGTCTCCTGAGGCCTCACAAGTGGCCAAATGAGATCACCAGGTCTTACTTTTTGTTTATGTATCACAAGGGATTTTTATTGAAAAGATTACATTTTCATTTCTTAACCTGAGAAACTCATTGTTGTCAATAAGATGCACATGTATATACCATTTTATGATGATTACAGTCTCAGAGCCCTGAGATTTCAGTGGTAGCCAGCTTTGCTTCTGTCTGATTTAAGACTTACTGACTAAAAAGCACCCCTCCCTGCTGCCAGCCCTCCAGGACCACAAACACCTGCACATACAGCCTCACAGACACGTTCCAGACATGCTACAGACACACTCCAGACACGTTCCACACTGCAGACACCCTCCAGACACACTCAGACACCCTCCAGACACGCTCCAGACACGCTCCAGACACCCTACAGACACCCTGCAGACACGTTCCAGACGCCCTGCAGACATCCTGCAGACACGCTCCAGACATGCTCCAGATGCCCTCCAGATACCCTCCAGACACGCTTAGACACCCTATAAACACCCTACAGACACGCTCCAGACATGCCGCAGATGCTCTCCAGACATGTTGCAGACACATGCCTGAGCTGCCCAGCTCTGCTCCGACCATGATGAATGGCAGAAGCCTGTTTGTGCTTTGATGAAATTGTCCGTACTTCCGCTCTTTTAACAATGAGTTTTTCAATGAGTGTCTTGCCATGTGGTCAGTGACTTCATTGTACTCATATACAATTTGGTTGCTATCCAAGAAGAAAGGTATTTTTGAGAAACCAAGTTGGAAAACTCTAGGGCCTTTTACTCATGGTTTTTCTTTCTCCCATGTTGATACCAAACATTGTGTTAAAGGATACCTTGGTGTTTAGAAAAGAGCATACTCATTGATTTATCTTCAAAAGAATGGTCAATTTATTTTCTTAAAGGTTTTTGTTAATTTTCCCAATAAAATAAATAGGAGTAATCAAATTTTGTTAATGTTTATTTTACAGTAATGTTAAACAACATACAGAAATTTGCATTTTATCCTTACTTGCAATACTTATACTAGAACGTTTGAAATTAATTGGATTTGATTATTTTTAAATAATAATTTTGCACTAGACTCCAGTGCATGAAGAGTGCAGGGATGGGGCAGGGGGATACAGAGGGAGCTGGATATTGTGGTGTAGGGACTGGGTGTCATGGTGTAGGGACTAGGTTCATGGTTTAGGGGCTGGGTTCGTGGTATAGGGGCTGGTTGTTGTGGTAAAGGGACTAGGTTCATGGTATAGGAACTGGGTACCATGGTGTAGGGGCTGGATGTCATGGGTAGGAACTGGGTTCGTGGTGTAGGGGCTGGGTGTCGTGGTGTAGGATCTAGGTGTCATGGTGTAGGAGCTGGGTATTGTGGTGTAGGGACCAGGTGTCATGGTATAGGGACTGGGTGTCATCGTATAGAGGCTGGGTGTTGTGGTATAAGGACTAGGTGTTGTGGTGTAGGGAATGGGTGTTGTGGTATAGGGACTGGGTGTTGTGGTATAGGGACTAAGTGTCATCGTATAGAGACTGGGTGTCGTGGTATAGGGGTTGAATGTCATGTAGGGGCTGGCTGTCGTCAAGTAGGGATTGGGTGTTGTGCAGGGGCTGGATGTCTGTAGGGATGGGGTTTCATGGTGTAGGGATTGGGTGTTGTGGTGTAGGGACTTGGTGTTGTGGTATAGGGACTAGGTGTGTGGTGTAAGGGTTGGGTGTTGTGTAGGGACTGGATGTTATGTAGGGTCTGGGTGTCATGGTGTAGGGGTTGGATGTTGTGTAAGGAGTAGGTGTTATGGTGTAGGGGCTGGATGTTGTGGTATAGGGTCTAGGTGTCATGGTGTAGGGACTAGGTGTCATCATGGAGGGACTGGGTCTCATGGTATAGGGGTTGGATGTTGTGTAAGGGCTGGATGTCATGGTGTAGGGATTGGGTATCATGGTATAGGGACTGGATGTCTGTAGGGACAGGGTGTCATGGTGTAGGGATTGGATGTTGTGGTGTAGGGACTGGGTTTAAGATGTAGGGACTGGGTGTCATGGTGTAGGGACTGGATGTCATGGTGTAGGGACTAGGTGTCATCATGTAGGGACTGGGTGTTGTGATGTAGGGACTGGGTGTTGTGGTGTAGGCACTGGGCGTCTGTAGGGATGGGGTGTCGTGGTGTAGGGACTGTATATTGTGGTGTAGGGACTGGGTGTTGTGCTGTGGGGACTAGATATCATGTAGGGGCTAGATGTTGTGGTATAGGGACTGGATGTGGTAGTGTAGCAGATTAAGCCACTGCTGGGGACACTCCCATCCGACATGAGAACCAGACACCAAGTCTTGACTCTGCTCTCCTCCCTGCTGATACATCCTGGGAGGGAGCAGGTGAAATACTTGGGACCCTACCACCCGTGTGGGAGACTCAGGTAGAATTCTTGGTTCCTTGTTTTGGCCTGGCCAAGCTTTCCTTGGCCGTTGCATGCATTTGGGGAGAGACCTAGTGGATGGAAGATCTGTGTGCTTGTGTGTGTGTGTGTGTGTGTGTGTGTGTTGGTTTATTTATATATTTTTGAAAGGCAGAGTGACAGAGTTTGAAATTGATATTGAGATTCCCAGGTGGAATTTGTCCTTCACACACCTGCTTTGTGACCCCTGAATTTATTTCTGAAATGTAATGAGCTTTATCTACCTGAGCCCTCCCCTGCAATGTTTAATTACCTGTCTGTTGAGCAGAGTTCTGGCTAAATATATGACCCAGGGTTCAGCTGCAGACTTTGCTCACTCCAAAGACCCTAAGTGAGGTGGCAGGCATAGATATTGTATTTAAGTCCTCCCCACTTTAGAAAACATTGAGTCAAATCATTCAGTTTGGAACTTAAAATTAAAAGCTTCAAATGGCAGCTTCCCCTTTCTTATTAGAAAATTATTGGATTCTCTGTGGCTGTGCACATTCTGTATTCAGAGGTTTTCCATTTCATCTACCTCTTCTCCTGCCAGTGTGAGTGCCGTGGCGGCAGCCGCGGGTGAATAATTGCCTGTCTTCACAGGAGCTTGTTCTGGAGTGAAAGTCGAGGGCTTGCTTCCTGATGTATGCACGCCTCATTGGGATTCTGCCAACAGCCTGGGGGCTCTATTATTCCTGCCTTGACAGAGAGGACGGCGGAAAG